ATATTGTCTGACAAGCTTAATAACATTATCATTGAAAGACGAAAGGAAATCACCATATTGATACATGTTTAAATCCGATCTAAGCTTTCGGCTTACATAAGCCATTATCAAAGATGACAATTACATTTCATTATATCAACCAATACACGGACGTTACGTCTTGCAACGCGATTTTCGCTTCCGTGTCTCGTATACACGATTTTGTCGTTGCTTTGAAATTTTTCCTGCAACAAAAACAGACTATCATTATTGTTTCGTCTAAACGTTTCTATATTATTTAATGAAACATGCATCAGTTGTTTATATATATATATATATATATATATATATATATATATATATAAGCCTCTAAGATGCAAGGGGTTACTTAGAGAAAGAAGCTATTAAAGAAGGAAAAACAATAAAAGAACAATAAGTAAGAAGACAGAAGATAACGTTTGACATTGCATTTAATTTTTTTAAGATCAAAATTAACTAGGAAGCAAGAAGCCAGAAGGGAGTTCCACAAAGGTGATAGAAAAAACTGTTAGCAGAGACCACAATTACATTTCGCCATGTCAACTGTAAGATGATAAGACCTAACTGCCAATAAAGTACTGCGCTTAAATTCATAAACTCTTGGTACCATAGAGAAAATTTAATCAAAACAATGAAAGTATTTCTCTAAAAAGGAACAAGGAAACTACTTTATAACGGTGGAAAAATGACCGAAGACGAGATGACAGGTCAAGACCAATAACTTTGCTGATTTTTCTTTGAGCTTTATCAAGAATCTCCAAATATATTGGAGGGGCACCAAACAGATGTGTCAGTAATACTTAAAGCAAGGACGAATGGTAGACTTATAAATATGTGAGACAGATTCTGGAGAGAAATATTGTCTAACACGACATAGAAAGCCAACATTCCTGGCAGCAGTCCTAGCAATTGATTCAATATAATCTTTCCTCTTCATGTCAACAGAAAAAGTTAGAGAAATTTTAGATTTTTTTTAACATTTTCCAATCTACGAATTTCATTGATAGTTTACATATATTTATTTTATTCACAAATAGTTATTTTGTAATTTTATTAACTTCAAAAACTTTTCAATTTAGCAAAAGTAATTCTATTTAGTAATGTGCGCTAGGGTAAAAATTGATCCTGAACTGTTTCAGTTATTCTGATGATGTTTATATTAAAAACTAGCAGTAGAGCCCGGCGTTGCCCGGGGATGTAACAGTAAGAGATAGATCAAGTATCAACCATCATAAAGACTGAAAAATAATATTGACAAAGATTATTGTTTAAGGTTGACGGACACGCATGTCTTAATTAGTTTTTTTTTTGTTTGTTTTGTTTTTTACGAATTGGTCAAACCCATACTCAAACAAAAACATTGTTTTCAATCGTTATGAGTCTACTGATTGAATAGAATTTTATTATAAACAATTGTCTTGTAAATGGAATTTTTAAAGTATTCTAAATGTAAAAATAAAGAAAAAAGTGTGCAAGACAATAAGAAACACTACCTGCCAAAAAAAAAAGTGAAGTTTTGTTGAAATCGGTTGAAAAATGTAGGAAATCCGATCCCATATATAAACGAACACACGCACACACACAAACAACCTGGGTTTTATAATAAGTTTAACTCAATATGAGTTGTCTCCCTTTCATTCTGGCGACAGTGATGCCTCTTAATCGTGTTTTCAAATTGATTTCGTGCAAAAACAATTGTGTTTTTCCAATTTTGGCACTGTCAGAACCACCGCAAGGTAATTTTATGTAGTCCTGTGAAGTTTTGTTGAAATCGGTTGAAAAATGTAGAAAATCCGATCCAATATATAAACGAACAGACACACACACACACACAACCTGGGTTTTTATAAAAAGTATGATTAATGTTGGCAAGAGAATCTAAATTTAAAACATCAAACTGGTTTTAATATATATCTATGTATAACTGGCCACGCGTATTCGAGGATACCCATCTACTGGGAAGGCTAGCCAATCCCTATTGTAGACGCTTGCTCAGGCGCATTTGTGTTTATTTAACACCCACAGTCCACATGTGCATTATACTGCAACTATGCGGACTTTAGTTACAGTTTCTGGGAAATAGCGCGTTATCTAGCGTGATCAACGATTTGAAAAAGGTCAGCACGCTCAACCCCTCAGCCACGATGACTTGTGACTTCGTGCTAGCACAGCCATCAAGGAATTCAAGAGTTCCGGTTATTTTATTTGTGATAATTTGGTGGTAGTCGGCAGGTTTGATTTGGTAAATGTTATTAGACTTATCAACCTTATTAGAATTTTTTTATGTTCCTTAAAGATTTTCGACTGGAAAATGATGATTTATTAAAATTGATTTTTCTAATGAGGTTGAGCATATCATTTTTAAAGGTTTCCAGGCTTTTATTCCTTGATGGAGAATTCTGAGATTCCAGAGCTGAAACTCCTAAGAACTTCAGGGACCGTTCTAACCTTTGTCTGCCAAGACAAGTGAGTAATACAATTCTTTAATTAATGCAGGGTATTAATACAGGTGTACATACATACATTATACAAGTCAAAAAATCATTTAGCATTTTCTTGGATAATCTTTTGATTTAATAACGGCCTTAATTCTTCGTCTCTTGTTATAGATTAAATTCTTTATTAAGCCAACGTTCTTCTCCAGATTTTTTCCAGCATTCATTTAATTCACGAAAAAGCTCATGTTAACTTTCCACTTCCGGACACGCTTGTCCATTATCCCCTAAAGGTTTCCATTTGTTTAAGTTCAGGACTCTGACTAGGCCACAGGAAGAGTCGCAATTAACCCTCGTCGCTTAGGCATGTTAATAGATGTAAATACAAATGTAATAAGCTTTATATTTTGTTTGTCACCATTTCTATGGATGCGCCTAATTTTTTACCCCGTACTGTATATAAACGTTAGTTTTAGAGGGTACACATATTTGAGTTGCTATGCCTGATTTAGTTTTTGAACAGTTAAATCAAGAAGAACTGACTCAGATCAAGAAGTCATATAAAAAGAAATGTATCTTCTGACGGTAATCAAACCTGTATTCCTTCTTTCATAGATGAAGCCTGTCGTTAACAATTTGGCTATGAGAGACAGATCAAATTTTAAATTGGTACCGAGACACTTCTTTTTAAATATATATCATCTATATTTATTAAAAAAGAATATATTTGAAAAGGAAAATAATCTTTTCTGGCCTGTTGTAAAGCTGAACACAAACGCCTAATTTCCCCATTACCCTTCTGTGAAATTGCTTTTTTGAAGCATCCAAATATTTTTCTTCTCCAAACATTACCGTATTTGACGGCATATAAGACGCACTGGTGTATAAGACGCACCCCAATTTCAAAAGTCCAAATCAAGACAAAAATAGTAATTAGTAAAATTAGTAAAACTATTACTAAATGATACAGCTTAGGCTATATTTATGCGGTTTTATGGTTAAACGAGCCGTGATAACAATTAAACGAAAAATAATAGGAAAAACGAGCTCATAAAAAATTATTATATCCTTTATATGACCTGTACAAACTGCGTGTTGTTAACGTCTTAGTGGAATAATTAGGATATAAAAATTGTATTTATACTAATGCAACCGAAAGTTATCGCAAGAAAAACATTAATGAAACAAATATATTTTACAAATATATAATTTGAATTTATTGCATATAATTTTATTCAAAGCAAAGAACTAATATTAAACATGATGAAATTAATATAATGAATATTATCAATGATAACACTTTTAATCTACATAATAGCCGTTTAAATAATGACAATAGGTATATAAAAGTTACTCTAAAGTCTAAGCTAATAGGAGTTGCCAGGTAGTTAATTTCGGCCAACTATCTCGAATTTCAAACCTACATGTGGTATAAAAGATGCAGGGGAATTTTAAAACATATTTTTAATAAAAAAAAAAGTCCGCCTTCTATGTCATCAAATATGGTAATGTTATAGACAAGCGTATGGTTGCAAGAAAGAAATACAACAGCAAAAATAGGTTTACGTGCTTTATTTCAACAGGAACTTGAGGGTTTGGGACAGCTATCTTGTGGTATAGTTCATAAGCCGGCTTCGGATCTAGGTCGATCTCTCATAGTAGTTCACACATGTTGACGGTAGTTGATGCTCTCCTGCTGTCAGCTGCTGACCGCTCGGCCTGGCCACCTGTCGACTGCCCGTTGAACTTTCGTGTGACCCCTTTTATAGCGTTTTTTATGGCTTAACAGACTCGAAAAACGAAGCGAGTATAATTAAGAGGGAAGCATTTTTATTGGACGAAAAATAGAACACTTTAAATATAATTTTATTTTTCGACCGGAACTCGTGTGTCGGGAACATTTGTAAACGAAGATAATGGTCATTTTCTGATGAAGCTTTGTCCCGTTCACATCCGGTTCTCGCTCTTGAGTATTTGCCTGTAAATCAGCCGAGATATGTCTTATTTTATTTTATAACAGTAATTATAAAATAGAAATTATAGCCCACCACTGAATAGTATTAACTGTCAGCGCAAAGGACTCTTCCACATAAAATGAAATGCATCAGGGCGACTCTATCTTTGTCATGAATAAAATAGAAATACCGATATAAACTTCCCCTGCGTCCAATAACGATTCGTGTCAAGGCTGTACACGAAAAGGTTTGGTCGTGTTTCGTGAACAAATAAACTCTTTCCTCTGTCCAGATTGTCACTCCATTATTCAACTCAACGACTCCATGACAATAACACTGACGATTCTGACACCTTTTAGCCTGAGATACAAATCGATAGTTTCCATCTTCTACATTACCCCCAACGTACGAACGAAGATGGCAGCTCTGAGAATGTATCATCGTTCTTTCGTTTCTTACTTTTTGTCCTTTTTTTTTTTTCTCATGTCAACGTCTTCTCCGTCAAACAAAACCCGACCAAGAAAATCCCTTCTATACCCGCTTTTGGATTGGTGAATGCGATGGACATTCTTTATTTTATTTTTTTTTCCAGATCCACCAGTGGATATGATGTCACGTAACTATTGCAAAAATTGCGAGACAATCGTCATTCTGTTTCTACTGTCCCGGTTACATTTTCATTTCCATTTTCCGATATCTTTTTTCCCTCGCTCATATTCGATATATTTGTCTTTCTTTCTTCTTTTTGTTTTCTTTATTCAATCAACATTCCTTCAGACTCTTGTTTTTTCCATATTCTCTTTTCCTTATTTCACAGCTTTGTTTGAAATGACTTTCTCCCTTTATATCCAATTCTCTTTCGTGTCTCTTAAAATCGTTTCTTGGCTTCGTGTCGCAAACAATTTTGTCTCTCATTCTTTCTAATATTATCCTACTATGTTTTATGATAACAACACAGGAATATCGATCTTTCTACCTACTTACACACACGTATTTACTGGAATGTATTATAAATTTGTAAGTTTAAATATTTCTTTACACCTTGTAGATAAAGCGCCGACCGCCGAGCTGTAACTTGCAAATTAAACTAACATCAAACAGTTACAGAGATTAAAATATCTGGGAAATGTTTTAACAGAGGACGGAAAGTGCGACACTAGGCTCCGAAGACGAATGGCCAAAGGTGAATTCCAAAAGCTAAGAAGAATATTAAGACACAGAATAATTTTGTTGGCAACAAAGAAACGAATACTGTACGTGATATATCCTCACGTATGACAGCGAATGCTGGACAATCTTCTCAAAGATATGAATTGCGATATGAATAGTGTATTGAAAAAAAGAAATTGTTTTCATAAACCCTCATTAGTGAAAAATCTGTAAAAATAGATAATGTAAAAAGTTCTGTTTCAGAAATCCGAGGTAGTAAAAAAATGAACTGTTTCAGAAATCCGAGGTAGTGAAAAAACAACTGTTTCTGAAATCTGAGGTAGTGAAAAAAGATCTGTTTCAGAAATCCTAGGTAGTGAAAAAAGATCTGTTTCAGAAATCTGAGGTAGTGAAAAAACAACTGTTTCAGAAATCCGAGGTAGTGAAAAAAAAATAACTTATTCAGAAATCCGTTTTAGTGAAAAAACAACTGTTTCAGAAATCCGAGGTAGTGAAAAAAGATCTGTTTAGAAATCTGATCTAGTGAAAAAACAACCGCTTCAGAAATACGTGTTAGTAAAAAATATTTGTCTCAAAAATCCAAAGGAATATAAAAACGTCTTTCTCGGACATCTATAAATGTCTAACAAATGGTAGAAAAAAACCTTCTCAGAAATTCGTCTACTAAAAAGAGATTTGTCTCAGAAATCCGCTGATTTGAAAAAATGATATGTTTCCAACTATGTGGTATTGAAAAATATCTCTCGATGAAGACACTTCCTTTATTGAAAAGGATCTGTCTCGGAAAACTGGAGATTTCAAAAGTTATCAGTCTCAAAAGACCGTGCTGTTGAAAAAGGCCTATGTATAAAACCTGACGTATTGAAAAAAGATCCGTCTCAGAAAACCGGAGTATTTGAAAGATATCATTCTCAAAAACCGTGTTGTTGAAAAAGGCCTGTGGATAAAAACTGACGTATTGAAAAAAAAGATCTGTCTCAGAAAACTGTGATATTGTGAAATGCAGAATGCAAGTTTATTTAAAATAAAGGATCTTCCTCAGAAATATTGAAAAAGTTCTGTTTCAGGAATCTCAGGAAGGGAAAATATTCTCTCTTCGAAATCCTGGATACAGAAAAATGATCCATTTCGGAAAACGTTTTTAGGGGGAACAGATCTGCCTCCGAAATCCAAGATAGTGAAAAACAACACTTTGTCTAAGTTTTCTGTGGTTCTGGAAAAAAAATCTCTCACAGAAATCATTGACATTGAAAATCTGAGGTATTCAAAGATTTCTGTCACATTGATCTGTTGTGTTGTATAATGATCGGTATAAGAAAATTGATTTAATGTAAAAAAAGATCTCAAATACCAGTGGTCTGAAAAAAATGATCTGGGTCAGTACTATCTGGTCTAGAAAATAAAGGTACTCTATCATAAATCCAAGGAATAGAAAAATACTTCTCACGGAAAAAGATCTACCCCAGAAAACCGTGGAAGTGAAATATATCTTTCTCCGAAATAACAGTTAAAGAAAACTTATCTATCTCAGAAATCCATGTTAATGAAAAAAGGTGTCTTAATTTGAAAAAAATGTACCAAGACATCTATGGTATCAAACAAATATCTGTCTCCAAAATGTACTATGTTGGGAATATGGATTACAGAAATAATCGGATTGCAAAGTAACCAGTCTCAAAAATCTGAAATAATGAAAAATTATCAGCTACAGAAATCTGTAGCATGGAAAGAAGGTATGACGCAGTTGTATTGTGAAAAAAAAAATGAAAGAAATCTAAGGTATTATAAAAAAGCTGTCTCAAAAACTCTTGATCTTGAAAACAGGTCGGTCTCACAAATCCGCGGTAGCAAAACAGATGTCTCACATACTCGCGCTAGTGAAGAAACATTGGTCTCACAAATCCACAGTAGCGAAATATATGACTCAGATACTTGCGTTAGGGAGGAAACAGTAGTCTCACAAATCCGCGGTAGCTAAATAATTGTCTCAGATACTCGCGTTAGTCAGGAAACATTGGTCTCACAAGTCCGTCGTAGCGAAATCATTGTCTCAGATATTCATGTTAGTCAGGAAATATTGGTCTCACAAATCCGTGGTAGCGAAATCATTGTCTCAGAAACTCGAGTTAGTCAGGAAACATTGGTCTCACTAATCCGCGGTAGCGAAATAGATGTCTCAGATACTCCCGTTAGTCAGGAAACATTGGTCTCACAAATCCGTGGTAGGGAAATCATTGTCTCAGATACTCGCGTTAGTCAGGAAACATTAGTCTCACAAATCCGCGTTAGCGAAATAGATATCTCAGATACTCCGGTTAGACAGGAAACATTGGTCTCACAGATCCGTGGTAGCGAAATCATTGTCTCAGATACGCGCCTTAGTCAGGAAACATTGGTCTCACAAATCCGTGGTAGCGAAACCATTGTCTCAGATAAACGCTTTAGTGTGGGAAACATTAGTCTCACAAATCCGCGTTAGCGAAATAGATATCGCAGATACACCCGTTGGTCAAGAAACATTGGTCTCACAAATCCGTGGTAGCAAAATAATTGTCTCAGATACTCACGTTTGTCAGGAAACATTGGTCTCACAAATCAGTGGTAGCGAAATCATTGTCTCAGATATTCGCGTTAGTGAGGAAACATTAGTCTCACAAATCCGCGGTAGCGATATAGATGTCTCAGATACTCGCGTTAGTCAGGAAACATTGATCTCACAAATCAGTGGTAGCGAAATCATTGTCTCAGATATTCGCGTTAGTCAGGAAACATTGGTCTCACAAATCCGTGGTAGCGAAAACATTATCTCAGATACACGCGTTAGTGTGGAAACATTAGTCTCACAAATCCACGTTAGCGAAATAGATGTCTCAGATACTCGCGTTAGTCAGGAAACATTGGTCTCACAAATTAGTGGTAGCAAAATCATTGTCTCAGATATTCGCGTTAGTGAGGAAACATTAGTCTCACAAATCTGCGGTAGCGAAATAGATGTCTCAGATATTCCCGTTAGTCAGGAAACGTTCGTCTCACAAATCCGTGGTAGCGAAATCATTGTCTCATATACTCGCGTTATTGAAGAAACGTTGGTCTCACAAATCAGTGGTAGTGAAATCATTCTCTCAGATACACGCGTTAGTGTGGAAACATTAGTCTCACAAATCCACGTTAGCGAAATAGATGTCTCAGATACTCGCGTTAGTCAGGAAACATTGGCGTAAAAAATCCCTGGTAGCGAAATCATTCTCTCGGATACTCGCGTTACTCAGGAAACATTGGTCTCACAAATCCGTGGTAGCGAAATCATTGTGTCAGATACTTGCGTTATTCAGGAAACATTGGTCTCACAAATCCGTGGTAGCGAAATCATTGTCTCGGATACTCGAGTTAGTCAGGAAGATTGGTCTCAGAAATCAGTGGTAGCGAAATCATTGTCTCAGATATTCGCGTTAGTCAGTAAACATCGGTCTCACAAATCCGTGGTAGCGAAACCATTGTCTCAGATAAACGCTTTAGTGTGGGAAAAATTAGTCTTACAAATCCACGTTAGCGAAATATATATCGCAGATACTCCCGTTGGTCAAGAAACATTGGTCTCACAAATCCGTGGTAGCGAAATAATTGTCTAAGATACTCACGTTTGTCAGGAAACATTGGTCTCACAAATCAGTGGTAGCGAAATCATTCTCTCAGATATTCGCGTTGTGGGGAAACATTAGTCTCACAAATCCGTGGTAGCGAAATAGATGTCTCAGATACTCGCGTTAGTCAGGAAACATTGTTCTCACAAATCCGTGGTAGCGAAGTCATTGTCTCAGATACTCGCGTTAGTCAGGAAATATTGGTCTCATTAAATCAGTGGTAGCGAAATCATTGTCTCAGATATTCGCGTTAGTGGGGAAACATTAGTCTCATTAATCCGCGGTAGCGGAATAGATGTCTCATATACTCCCGTTAGTCAGGAAACATTGGTCTCACAAATCAGTGGTAGCGAAATCATTTTCTCGGATACTCGCGTTAGTGAGGAAATATTGGTCTCACAAATCCGTGGTAGCGAAATCATTGTCTCAGATACACGCGTTAATCAGGAAATATTAGTCTCACAAACCCACCTTAGCGAAATAGATGTCTCAGATACTCGCGTTAGTAAGGAAACATTGGTGTCACAAATCCCTGGCAGCGAAATCATTGTCTCAGATACTCGCGTTAGTCAGGAAACATTAGTCTCACAAATCCGTGGTAGCGAAATCATTGTGTCAGATCCTCGCATTAGTCATGAAACATTGGTATCACAAATCCGTGGTAGCGAAATCATTGTCTCGGATACTCGAGTTAGTCAAGAAGATTGGTCTCACAAATCCGTGGTAGGGAAATCATAGTCTCAGATACTCGCGTTAGTCAGGAAACATTAGTCTCACAAATCAGCGTTAGCGAAACAGATATCTCAGGTACACCCGTTAGACAGGAAACATCGGTCTCACAAATCCGTGGTAGCGAAACCATTGTCTCAGATAAACGCTTTAGTGTGGGAAACATTAGTCTCACAAATCCGCGTTAGCGAAATAGATATCGCAGATACACCCGTTGGTCAAGAAACATTGGTCTCACAAATCCGTGGTAGCAAAATAATTGTCTCAGATACTCACGTTTGTCAGGAAACATTGGTCTCACAAATCAGTGGTAGCGAAATCATTCTCTCAGATATTCGCGTTGTGGGGAAACATTAGTCTCACAAATCCGTGGTAGCGAAATAGATGTCTCAGATACTCGCGTTAGTCAGGAAACATTATTCTCACAAATCCGTGGTAGCGAAGTCATTGTCTCAGATACTCGCGTTAGTCAGGAAATATTGGTCTCACAAATCAGTGGTAGCGAAATCATTGTCTCAGATATTCGCGTTAGTGGGGAAACATTAGTCTCATTAATCCGCGGTAGCGGAATAGATGTCTCATATACTCCCGTTAGTCAGGAAACATTGGTCTCACAAATCAGTGGTAGCGAAATCATTTTCTCGGATACTCGCGTTAGTGAGGAAATATTGGTCTCACAAATCCGTGGTAGCGAAATCATTGTCTCAGATACACGCGTTAATCAGGAAATATTAGTCTCACAAACCCACCTTAGCGAAATAGATGTCTCAGATACTCGCGTTAGTAAGGAAACATTGGTGTCACAAATCCCTGGCAGCGAAATCATTGTCTCAGATACTCGCGTTAGTCAGGAAACATTGGTGTCACAAATCCCTGGTAGCGAAATCATTGTCTCAGATACTCGCGTTAGTCAGGAAACATTGGTCTCACAAATCCGTGGTAGCGAAATCATTGTCTCAGATACGCGCGTTAGTGAGGAAACATTGGTCTCACAAATCCGTTGTTGCGAAATCATAGTCTCAGATACTCGCGTTTGTCGGGAAACAATAGTCTCACAAATCCGCCTTAGCGAAATAGGTATCTCAGATACTCGCGTTAGTCAGGAAACATTGGCGTAACAAATCCCTGGTAGCGAAATCATTCTCTCAGATACTCGCGTTACTCAGGAAACATTAGTCTCACAAATCCGTGGTAGCGAAATCATTGTGTCAGATCCTCGCATTAGTCATGAAACATTGGTATCACAAATCCGTGGTAGCGAAATCATTGTCTCGGATACTCGAGTTAGTCAAGAAGATTGGTCTCACAAATCCGTGGTAGGGAAATCATAGTCTCAGATACTCGCGTTAGTCAGGAAACATTAGTCTCACAAATCAGCGTTAGCGAAACAGATATCTCAGGTACACCCGTTAGACAGGAAACATCGGTCTCACAAATCCGTGGTAGCGAAACCATTGTCTCAGATAAACGCTTTAGTGTGGGAAACATTAGTCTTACAAATCCACGTTAGCGAAATATATATCGCAGATACTCCCGTTGGTCAAGAAACATTGGTCTCACAAATCCGTGGTAGCGAAATAATTGTCTAAGATACTCACGTTTGTCAGGAAACATTGGTCTCACACATCAGTGGTAGCGAAATCATTCTCTCAGATATTCGCGTTTGTCGGGAAACATTAGTCTCACAAATCCGCCTTAGCGAAATAGGTATCTCAGATACTCGCGTTAGTCAGGAAACATTGGTCTCACAAATCCGTGGGAGCGAAATCATTGTCTCAGATACTCACGTTAGTCACGAAACATTGGTCTCACAAATCAGTGGTAGCGAAATCATTGTCTCAGATACTCGCGTTATTGAGGAATCATTAGTCTCACAAATCCGTGATAGCGAAATAAATGTCTCAGATACTCGCGTTAGTCAGGAAACATTGGTCTCACAAATCCGTGGTAACGAAATCATTGTCTCAGATACTCGCGTTAGTAAGAAAACATTTGTCTCACAAATCAGTGTTACCGAAATCATTGTCTCAGATACTCGCGTTAGTCAGGAAACCTTAGTCTCTCAAATCCGCGTTAGCGAAAAGATATCTCAGATACTCCCGTTAGTGAGGAAACATTGGTCTCACAAATCCGCGTTTGCGAAATCATTGTCTCAGATACTCCCGTTAGTCAGGAAACATTGGTCTCACAAATCCGTGGGAGCGAAATCATTGTCTCGGATACTCGCGTTAGTCAGGAAACATTGGTCTCACAAATCCGTGGTAGCGAAATCATAGTCTCAGATACTCGCGTTTGTCAGGAAACATTAGTCTCACAAATCCGCCTTAGCGAAATAGGTATCTCAGATACTCGCGTTAGTCAGGAAACATTGGTCTCACAAATCCGTGGGAACGAAATCATTGTCTCAGATACTCACGTTAGTCAGGAAACATTGGTCTCACAAATCAGTTGTAGCGAAATCATTGTCTCAGATACTCGCGTTATTGATGAATCATTAGTCTCACAAATCCGTGGTAGCGAAATAGATGTCTCTGATACTCGCGTTAGTCAGGAAACATTGGTCTCACAAATCCGTGTTACCGAAATCATTGTCTCAGATACTCGCGTTAGTCAGGAAACATTGGTCTCACAAATCCGCGGTTGCGAAATCATTGTCTCAGATACTCGCGTTAGTCATGAAACATTGATCTCACAAATCTGTGGTAGCGAAATAGATGTCTCAGATACTCGCGTTAGTCAGGAAACCTTAGTCTCTCAAATCCGCGTTAGCGAAAAGATATCTCAGATACTACCGTTAGTCAGGAAACATTGGTGTCACAAATCCCTGGTAGCGAAATCATTGTCTCAGATACTCGCGTTAGTGAGGAAACATTGGTGTCACAAATCCGCGTAACGAAATACATGTTTCATATATCTATGTTAATGAGGAAGCTTTGGTCTCGCAAATCCGTGTCACTGAAAAACATGAATCAGATATCCGTGTTACGGAATAAATATTAGTCGCCCAAATCATTCTAAGTGAAAAGACATCTGTCTCATAAATCCGTGTTAGTGAACAAATACTTTGTGAAAATGCCGTCTGTCTGTATTTGTGCGGAATTAGAAAATGTGTCGGTCTCATAAATCTGTGGCAATGGAAAAAATGTATTGAAAAAATTTATTCCAGATTTCTGAGGTTTTGAAATCTGGGATTATGTACAATGATCTGTCTCAAAATTACGTTGTAGTGAAAAAGACCTGTATCAGAAATTTGTGATATTGAAAAAATATGTCTCAAACGTCAATAATACTGAAGAAAAAAACTTCTTTCAAATATTAAATCTGTGAAGACATATTTCAGAAATTCGTGTTAAGGAAAAGAGTTCTGTCTTAGAAAATACCCATCTCAGAGTTCTGCCTTAGAAAATACCCATCTTAGAGTTCTCCTTAGAAAATACCCATCTCAGAGTTCTCCTTAGAAAATACCCATCTCAGAGTTCTGTCTTAGAAGATACCCATCTCAGAGATCTGTCTGAGAAAATACCCATCTCAGAGATCTGTCTGAGAAAATACCCATCTCAGAGTTCTGTCTGAGAAAATGCCCATCTCGGAGTACTGTCTGAAAAAATACCCATCTCAGAGTACTGTCTGAGAATATACCTATCTCATAGTTCTGTCTTAGAAAATAACTATTTGAATATTAAAAAGTATCAGTCTTAGAAATGTCAGAATTTCCAGTAGGTTGCAGCAGGTATTTGAAGATATCTGAACGAGAAGACAGATACCGGCGAAAGGCTTTTCACTTTCGGGAGTTGAAGGACAACGAATGGCGACAAACCATTTAGTATTATTCTACTCGCTAGGTCTGGCGGCTCGACAGAAGCTGGTCTCCGCGGTTTGCAAGCCAGATACGAAGGACCGGCAAAGTATCCTGCGGGACCCTGTTTTCCAGCGCGCTAGAAATGGCGAAGACACGGGCGGGAGTCACTCGGAACAATTGCAGTTCGATTTTCGAGAGGTACTAAGCGATAGACTTGCGTGCACGCAACGCATTCGAACCTGCAATGTAAACGAACGAGGCTGATCCGAGCAGTGAGTCGTACGACAAGGACTTTCGTTGCAAATATCGATCACTGAAGTGAGCGCTTCGACGGAACACGGGAAGGAAACGATTTCCTCCGTCAACCGGAAGGACCTACGGCCGGGGCATTCACGTTTTCCGACGGGAACTGCGGACGGCAAAAGACAAGGTATCACGAACTATCACGGAATCAGCAACATCGACGGCGACAACAAGAGAAGCGAGCACAATTAGGTGGCGTCGGCGGCTGCAGGTACGACGCAGACGGATAACGACTACGGGACACCACTCGACACACGTGCAATCGAATCGTCGCTGACACTGCGGCTGTAGCTGCTGCTACTAGATATCGTGGTGACGCGTTTAAGGATGAATTTTACGAACAGCCGACGATGGTAAAACTGTCCTCATCTCTACCTACCGAAACACGATTACCCTCTACACGCCTATGGGACACCATGTCGGCTGGCACGCGTAACAAGTCGTATAGACGAGGATCGAAACGAATTCACTTTATTTTCGAACTTTGTTAATAATAATCAATCTACAGGGTGGTCCGAAAGTCTCGTCACCCCATACCTAAAATTAACGAGGATAGTAATACAGTAATACAAAGCATGCGTACTGGATTCAGTTTTACTCAAAATCATTTACGCTGTCCTACATCGAGAAGATGTTTATGTACAGCATCATTTTCGTGTCAGCCATCTGAAACAAAATTATGTTATGTAGAGGTGACAAGTCTTTCGGACCACACTGTATGATGTAAAACAGGTGCGCGTCGCCGTCCCATCAGTGGCACTCCAACACATGATCAGACCGCCCGTGGCAAGACCGCCCGTGGCAAGACCGCCCGTGACAAGACCGCCCATGGCAAGACCGCCCGCGGTACTCCAGTCCGACCAACGCGTGTCGCAAACAATCCCGTCAAAATGATTCTCGCCAACGTTATCAGCGAATACTGAAAACGAAAGAATTACTTAATTATTACTTCAGTAGATCAAAGAAATAATGTTGTATTTTTTTAAAACAAAGGTGTTTCAAAACTGTATGGAATTGAAAAAAAATGTCAGAAATCTATAAAAAAATAAGTTTCTGAATTCGGAAAATATATATATTTCGGATATCTGTGAAAATGGTCAAAAGCCGTTTTCGGATTTTACAAGTCATACTGATATGTCAACAAGCAAAATTTATAAAGAAAAGCACTATGCTTTAAACAATGTTTAATGTCTACATGACTGACTCTAGTTAGGCTAACATGTGAAAATCACGTTCTAAAAGACGTCCCGGTATATTTAAGGACACATGGCACAGTGGATAAAAGCGTTGGTTAGATTCAGTGACAGGACCCAAAGAGTGTGAGTTCAATACCTGGTTAAGGAAGTGGAGAACTTGGAGAGGGGAATTAACAAGAGATAACTGACATCCATTAAACATGACAAGTGGAACTAGAACAGTCTACCTCCAGAGAGCGAAATAAAGGCTTCAGTTCGACATTCCAACCACCTGAAGAAGGCCGACGCGTACAACGGCCGAAACGTTGTAATAAATATGGCGACAAAGATGAGGACTCTAGTCCGAATAATGTAAATAGTGTACATAATACCTCATCTCAGAAATATAGACAGATACTGAAAGGCCGAAACCTTGTAATAAATATGGCGATGAGGACAATAGTCTGAATAATGTAAATAGTGTACATAATACCTCATCTCAGAAATATAGACATATACTGAGGTAAGTTTAATTAAACATCATTACGCCTAGGTTCAGTGGATTTATACAATGGCATCAAACAGGTATGAATGGCTATAATTATTTATTTGAAACAAAAAATTGTCCGTATTTCAGGTGAATCCCCATAAATAACAGAGAATAATTATGTGACATCTTCCACCGAATAAAGTTTGGTAACAGTAATTTTATTCTAAACTCAATAAGTTCCTATATGATTCCTGTCTCATATTTTTACAAGATCTAATTTCTCTCTCTCTCTCTCTCTCTTTCTCTCTCTCTCTCTCTCTCTATATATATATATATATAATTATATATATATATGTAGGGTGACCCCCCAAAAAAGGGAACTTTTTAACAATCCAATAAAACCAAGAGTGATGGAAGAATAATATTTTATTCATAGTAATTGAAACCTTAAAACATGCCATTTAAAAAACAATGACAGAATTTTCATTTTTTTTAAATTACGTCCTGTAGATGGCGTCCTCCTGTACGAATGCATTCTTGAAATCTGCTGTCGAGATTCCTCATTGACTACTGCAACATCTCAGCTGGGATACTGGGAATTTCATCTTGAATTCTAAATGGCGAAATGTTTACTTGCTCAAGGTCACTGTCTCGCAGTGTTGCCACTTGCTCATGTCTGGCAATACGCACTCAAAAATTCCCGTTTTCTGGGGTCACCCTATATATATATATATATATATATATATATATATATATATATATAATTAAAGATAAGGATATACAGCGCCCAAAAAGTCTGCCTAACACTGGAAAAAAGAGTGCGTAATGCTAAAAAAATGGCAGGTCTTTAATAGATGTTCCTATGTTGGTGACTTTATTAACTCGTTATTTTAGAACACTTCTTTACTTGAAACTCTAAATTTCTCTACTGGGTGCTATTGTTCCCTATGGCATTAAACACTTTTTTGTTACACAGGCAACCCTTTCCCGGTGGAATTTTTTTCGGCTCTCTTGATTTTAGCCGAATAGGTTACCTCCTCTCCCAACACTGGCGAGTTTGGTTGGCTTACTACTGTGAACTCATCTGGTGGCACAAGGCTTGCTTTTTTTACATACTACATTTACCGACCGCTTAATGATTGCCTGAAAGCGCATGAAACTGGCATTCATGATCGGTATCACCCTACATGAAATTTGATTATATATATATATATATATATATATATATATATATATATATATATATATAGATAATATTAGTGGAAAATATACATACATATGAAAATATATCTAAAAAATTCCCATACATGTATATTTTCAGAAAAATTTTTTCAAGAGGAAGGATCCAGGTAGAACTCAATGTCTAGGACAGAGTAAGGATATAATAAAAGGCTTAAACACTAATATTCCATGGTCATAATTTATTCCATTGGAATCGTAAATACGATCAAATCATCAGACCTACAAATTCAAAATGAAAACAGAAAAATTTCCGGAGTTGTTTTTTCTGTTTTCATTTTGAATTTGTAGGTCTGATGATTTGGATCGTATTTACGATTCCAATGGAATAAATTATGACCATGGAATATTAGTGTTTAAGTTTTCTTTTTTATTATATATATATATATATATATATATATATATATATATATATATATATATATATATATATATATAGTTTATGCAAACTTAGGTAATCCGTATGGGTAGACCTGAGGAGGATGATATCCAGAGAGCTCAATGTAAAATTCAGAGCAGATATGTTTGAATAAAAGACAGACCACGTTAAGATTCCATGTAATAAGCTATTTCACCATAACCCCTTTAACAGGATTCTGGATCATCAGACTTTACTTCCAAAAGCTGAAATGAAAAATGAAAAGAAATTCACACGTTTTTTACGGACCTCATCAAGTATACGTAAAGTTAACGAAGTGAGGAAGTGAGGTGGGAGAGAGGATATGAGTGTGTCATATGTATCATTTTAGTTTCCTATTTTAACCCCAGTGTGTCGGCTAGATGTTGCTCAAATTTAACGCGTCTCGTTCTAGATATAGATGGTTAAGGGGTGAATGATAAGAACGACATTAAAGGAAGAAGTTACAACAACCCCAATAAATTACACGACAGATTTCATTCAAATTCTTAGACGCTGTCAGTTTGCGTTACTTCAACGTGCATATTTGGGAGGTTAAGGTTTGATAAATATCTAAATGTTAAAACAATCTACGAAGAAATTAATTTGAAATTCGGTGGAGTTTTGGGTATTTTCTATGAAGCAGTCGATTGGAAAAACCCATAGACAGAACATTGAAAGAGTAATCCCATTTATATTTAGTACTTTTTCCACTAAAACTTTTATCTTATAGCTTGTTAGGTTGACATTTATTCGTTTGATTTTTGTTCATTAAGTAAACTCGTGATTGTTTTTGATTTTTGTTCATTAAGTAAACTCGTGATTGTTTTTATGTACCCAATTATCAACGGTTATTCCCATTTAAATAATTTTATTCTCCACACTGGGGTAGTATCTCTCAATCTCAATTAAAATGCCAATCTAAATTTTCCCTTCGTGCTATTTAAAATTCACTTCCAATTGGAGAATATTAAAGGAGATATTTGGAAGAGATGTCACGAGCAGAAAATTAGGTCCTTCTTTTACAATTTTTTATCTACACATGTCTTAAACCCCTATTTGTAACCACATACCTATATCTTCTTATATGCTTATGGGTTCCTATATACACCTACACACACATATTCACACGAAACGATACATGTATATTTCCATCTTTACACATATACACGTGTGAATTTCTTTTCATTTTTCATTTCAGCTTTTGGAAGTAAAGTCTGATGATCCAGAACCCTGTTAAAGGGGTTATGGTGAAATAGCTTATTACATGGAATCTTAACGTGGTCTGTTTTTTTAAATAAATATATATATATATATATATATATATATATATATATATATATATATTTGGTTGGATTGATGTGAGTTTGTGACCTGGGTTTCACGCTTTTGCGATGATCGCAAATAGCGTAAAACCAGGGTCACAAACTCACATCAATCTAACCAAATATGTTAGCTCTATCTCTGATATTTAGCGCTTTCTAATAAAACCGCGCATATATATATATATATATATATATATATATATATATATATATATATACACACATATATATATATATAATTTTAAGGTATGCTATATTTATGGGATAAAGCGCTCAGTATCAGAGATAGAGCATATGTAACTATAAAAGTGAACATTGAAGTCAACATTCAGATGTTTAATTAAACCCACGTATGACTGCAGAATAAAGAACGAATGTTCCCTAAATGGCAATTGCTTACAAAACAATGAAATAGGCCAAACCACGGTGAAATCATCAGATAACGAAGAAGAAATATACATAGGAGTAACTGAAGGTCCCTGGGAACAAGGAAACTACGCAAACGAGACATCTTTCACAAATAGTGAATACGCGAACAGCACAATGCTTTCCAAGTATATCTGGGAAAAGAAAAAGCAAATCATCCAAAAATATCATGGAAAATAAGGAAAAGAACATCAGCTTACAACAGTCAATCCAAAAACAGCAAACTCTGCTAGGAGGAAAAAATGAATTACCAAAAAACTTAAAAATTAATTACCTTCCCAGACCAAAACAAACTACTTAATAAACGATCAGAGCTTATCGCAAAATGCGGACACAAAAACAAATTTTTACTACGTTATTTAAAAACCGAAAACTGAAAAGAATAAATAAAAATAATTAAGCAAAAACAAGTAAAAAAATTAATCCAAATAAAGTAAATAATAAACAAATTAACAAACCACGCCCGCCAAAATAAACGTTAGAATGGATTACCCATAATGCACTAGACTACTCGCAATGCATCACTGACCCGTATAAATAGTCGCGAAAAACACAACGCATCTGGCCTGCTGATTACGTTTAGTATGAAACAGTCTCTCCTTTGAATGTTGATTTCAATGTTTACTTGTATATATATATATATATATATATATATATATATATATATATATATATATATATTCAGATATAAGATATTCAGATATACATGTCATGTCTGTAAAAAAAGAAAATACGAATAAAACAAGGAAAAAACATGCACGCATACATCACACAGACACACACACATATATATATATATATATATATATATATATATATATATATTTAATATACCGAGTGTAACAGCAAAATTGTCCAAATTCTCTAACAGCATAATTAGCCATCCCACAAAATGTTTAATATCTAAAAGCAACCTAAACTAATTGAATTTATTTTTTCAGGTATCCAGATAAGACGTTTAGCCATACTGACACCATTTTTCGTAAGGTTCACTGAAAGACTCTTTGAGTTATTCAGCTAAAAAGAGATCAATTAGAAAAGATAGAATTCAATCGACGTTTGGTTCGTGAGCGAGGATTTTAAGCTTTGACAGTCAAAAGAGCAGTGAAAAAAGACTTGAAAATGAAATCGTTCGTGTAACCTGTGAGGCACCTTGTCACTCCAAGACAGAAAGTTAGAATCGAAGATTTAGGTATCCTAATTTGAATGTTTTAGAATTCCTGGCGTCCGACGTGTTTGGACATATTTCTCAGCCGATCCCATTTTGTTTTCCAACGCTTTCGTTTATTTTTTTTTATCGCTCTGTCTTTCCAATATCCGACATTGTGTCAACAGATATTTTAGTCAGAATACTGCTTTTTGCGCAAAAGGAAATGTAGCGAACCCAGCTGGGATTCGAACTCTTCTCTCCGATTTCTCATTCCAGGCCGTCATCCATTAGAAAACCCGCACATAGGCCGATAGATTTGTTACCTGATGTTCATTTAAGGCACAAGAGTCACTCAAGATAGAGGGCTACTGTATGATGGTGTATGAGCGTAATAGAAAATATTAACCCTTTGAGCCCTGACCGGTGGTAGAGAAAATGACGTAATGCCCAACCACCGGTTGAACAGAGGTAGAGAAAAATGGCTTAATATCCAGCCACCGATTGAACAGAGGTAGAGAAAAATGGCTTAATGCCCAGCCATCGGTTGAATGGTGGGTAAACACTTGTAACTATTTTTATATCTATCGTGAACCATTACAAATACAAAGGCTTAATCAATATTTCTTACTTCTCTTTCCTTATTTCCTTCTCCTCCGTGGTCAAGAAAGAAAGACGACTTTTTTTCCCACTTCTTTTCTTTCTTTCATTCTTCACAAGCCTTGACCACCGGTTTAACGGTGGTAGAGAAAAATGACGTAATACACAGCCACCGTTCAACCGGTGGCTGGGCATTAAGTCATTTGAACTTGTAACTATTTTTATATCAGCCGTGTAACATTACTTGCGAATTTTGTTTCAAGAGCTCAGATAAAAAGGGCTCAAAGGGTTAATCAATATTTCTCATTTCATTTTCCTTATTTCCTTCTCATACGTGGTCAAGAAAGAAAGACGACATTTCTTTTACTGCTTCTTTTCATTCTTTCATTCCTTTTCGCTATTCTTTCTTAAACCTTCCATCCCTGACCACCGCTTTACCGGTAGTAAAGAAAAGAAAAGTAATGCCAGCCACCGGTTGAACGCTGGATAAACACTTGTAACTATATTTTATTATTATTATTATTATTATTATTATTATTATTATTATTATTATTATTATTATCTACCGTGGCACATTACAAATTTGCGAATTTTGATTCAGGAATGAAAAGGGCGCAAAGGATTAAGTGCGGTTTATGAGGTTATGTATTAAAGGTAATGGTTAAGGCAAGACTTGAATCGGCTTTGTCGTGATCGGGAAAATATCCTGCCGGGAAGACTCCACAATGCGACACTTCTTGGAAAGAAGCTATCCGAGTGGAACTTACTTAGCAGATGAAGATGAACGGGGAGTGGATGACTCATCACTGCGTACGAGGTATGATTGGTCATAGCTAAAAAGTTCAGTAACTGTGGAATTAAGCAGATAGATAGATAGATAGATAGAAAAGGAATGAAGGTAAAGACTAGATAGATAGATAGATAGATAGATAGATAGGAAGGAAGGAAGGAGATAAGGAATGAAGAGATAGATAGATAGATAGATAGATAGATAGATAGATAGATAGATAGATAGATAGGAAGGAAGGAAGGAAGGAAGGAGATAAGGAATGAAGAGATAGATAGATAGATACATAGATAGATAGGAACGAGACAAGGAATGAAGAGATAGCTAGCTAGCTAGATAGATAGATAAATAAGCAATGAACGTAAAGACATTAGATAGATAGATAGATAGATAGATAGATAGATAGAAAAGGAATGAAGGTAAAAACATTAGATAGATAGATAGATAGATAGATATATAGATAGATAGATAGATAGAAAAGGAAGGAACGTAAAGACGTTCGATAGATAGATAGATAGATAGATAGATAGGAAGGAGATAACAAATGAAGAGATAGATAGATAGATAGATAGATAGATAGATAGATAGATAGAAAACGAATGAACGTAAAGACATTAGATAGATAGAAAGATAGAAAGATAGATAGATAGATAAGGAATGAATAGATAGATAGATAGATAGATAGATAGATAGGAAGGAAGGAAGGAGATAAGGAATGAAGACATAGATAGATAGATAGATAGATAGATAGATAGATAGATAGATAGATAGATAGATAGATAAGGAATGAACGTAAAGACATTAGATAGATAGATAGATAGATAGATAGATAGATAGAAAAGGAATGAAGGTAAAGACATTAGATAGGTAGATAGACAGATAGATAGGAAGAAAGGAGATATGGAATGAAGAGATAGATAGATAGATAGATAGATAGATAGATAGATAGATAGATAGATAGATAGGAAGGAAGGAAGGAAGGAAGGAGATAAAGAAATGAAGAGATAGATAGATAGATAGATAGATAGATAGATAGATAGATCAAGTCTACCCTGCTATTCATTTAAGCCATAGCTGCGTGTAGTGGGGAGAGATAGTCGCGTTCCTTTACCAAGAGTAATTGAGCGAAAACGCGCGCAACAGACTGGTCTGGTACTTGAACTTTTTTCCCTAATTTCACTTTCTATACCGCTAAACATTACACTACTTCCACATTCTGAATCAAAAAGGCGCGTTTTTATAATTAATAAAATTATAGAACGGACACAAAGTCTACAAAGAAAATGTATTGATTGATTTAATTTTTACGGCTTATCAACCTCTGCAGCTTATATAAAGTCAAAAAATATTTTTAGATAGGAAGAAATTTTGGGCGGTAATTAAAGATTTTCCTGATAGGATTTCTACTAATTAACCCATAGCTGGGGAGAACAGGTGAATTTCTACTTTTCCCAATGGTATTGGTGCGTATTGGTACTCGGATCTTCCATTTTCAATGCCTCGCCGTTATCCATTACCACTCACAGATCCAGGCTTACAACGCCAAGTTACCCATTTAGATACTGATCAGATTCGACGTGGCTTAACTTCTGTGATCGCACGAGAACCGGTATTTCAACATAATATGGCCGTAATTTATTGAACAATTTATTGAAAGAAGTGTCATTGTCATGAAGACACACAACGACAACATTAATGTGAAATGTATGTTCCTGAGGGAACTAGATGTCCTACCAGGATTTATTACTGGATGACGCAATTTTGAATACAGACACAGAAAAGAAACTACAGAAACTCTAAGTTAGTATTGGAAAGGGAGAACAAAGGACTAAGTATAAATTGCAAGAAAACATAATGTATTGTTGCCAGTAAATTGAACAAATTACAAATTGAAATACCAAAATCAAATAAGCGGGAAAATTTAAATATCTGAGAAGTGTTTTAACACATAACGAAAAATTGTAACAGAGAAAGATGATTTCTAAAAAATAAGCAAAATATTAAGAAACAGGAAAATTTCGTTAGAAACATAAAAAGAAAAGCGTGCTGAACTGTTACACAATATCAATCTACCTGTATGCTAGTAAATACTGGACATCTCCTCACACATGAAGAAGAGACAATAAAACTATGGTTCTACCGGAGGATGCTGGGAAGACAAAAGAACTGAACGTTCGAGTAACGAAGAAGCTTGAAAGGAAAATTGAAATAAAGCGGAAAATTATACTCAGAAAAAAAAAACATTTCTAAGATACATAATGATAAAATAAGGCCTGGAAAAATTGCTACTCACGAGGCATACTGAAGGTAAGAGATTCACAAAGAAATCCTTGTGCAACATAGCAAGCTTGTGCACATGGACAGCATAAAACGTACGGTTAATGCTGAAAAGACAAACCTACAGCGCTACAACAGATAACAAGTTGAAATTCCAATAATTAAATACTTAGTATAGCCATAAAAACATGGCGGATTTACCATAAAACATGGCGGATTTAAAAATGGATAATGCAATGGAAATATTGTTCAATTATTGTGCAAAATTATATTATTTTATATGTATTTCTTGTATTGAATTTGTCATGCTATATTAATTAAAATATACTATTTATTAATTTATGTTATATTATTAATAGAATTATAATATTTTATGTTATATTTGTTTTATATTATTTTATGTTATTATTAAAGTAACTATTAAAGTAAATATTAATAAATGTACGTATTTATCCTTACCGGTAACATGACTCGAAATTTGATGAACGACGCAATCTTCAGATTTTAACTCAGGACCTGAAGATTGCGTTATGCGTGAAACTCCGAGTAGTGTTACCGATGAGGACAATTATATAAATAATTATGAATACTCCACAAATGTTTTAAAATGTGTATCTCTATCTATAAAAGGCAGGATGTGTGTGTGTGTGTGTGTGTGTGCGTGTGTGTGTGTGTGTGTAACGAATGCAAGGCCGCAATTTTCGACGGATTTGCACCAAAATTTACATGCACATGCTCCAAGTTAGCGCGAAGGGCAAGACCGACTTTGCATTTCGCAACTCCCATCGATAGTGGAAATAAGCTATTGGAGTAGAAGAGACAGCTACATATAACAGTTTCGACAATGAAAGGGTGTGAGCGAAATGCCAGCCTAGTTGAACGCTTAAATTCATAAAGTCTGGGAACCAGCGAAAGCAACTCCTCGGAGCAATTACCGTGAAAGTATTTGTAAAAAAGACAGAGGGAGGCAATGACACGTCTGTGAGAGAACGGCTGCAGACGAGATGCCAGATCAGGGCCAATTACATTGCATATCCGTCTCTGGATTTTCTTAAGAACCTTGAGACAAAGAGGCTCCAGACCATATATGTTAGCAATACTTCATGTAAGGGCGAATAGTTGATTTGTGTTTTTATTTTAATCTTATTGAAGACCCCGAAAAATATATGGCCTTAAACTGCTTTTTTTTTTTGTTTTTTTTTTTGTTTTTTGTAAGCTTCTACCTAAGTCCGGCTCTCGGGTTAACATTAGGTATCCTTGCTGTCGAAATAATAGTCATTACAGAATGGGCAATGAAAGTCTTTCTGTAAGACACATTATGGACACTGACCCTTCATAAAACTGCCTGCTCCTGAAAGAGACGATTTTCCAAGCCACAAAGCATTCCGCTTTAAAAGTCAACACGTTTGATTACAGCAGCAGCAGCAGCAAGAAGAAAATCACTAACAAAAGAATATGGCGGCCTGCAAGTTTTAATAGGAACGTTTAGTTTTCTTTGTTTCCCGCTTTTATTTTTATCTCATTACTGTCGGAGGATAAATCATTTTTCGTCCCTCGTTGGCCAATGACTCATCCTTTTGCCGGCAGTTTCTGCAACGTGGAATAAAAAATTAAAAAAAAATTGATGGGGAAAGGTTAAAAAAAATGCAAAACTGAATAACTAAGTTGATTATCGAAAGTAGTATTTTTTCTTTCTTTTTAATTTTTTTTTTTTTTTACACTCTCTATATGATTTAGACTCAGACATCGTCGTCATCATCATCACCATCATCACCATCATCGTCATCATTGTCTTCAACATCATAATCATCATCATCGTCATCATCGTCATCATCGTCGTCATCATGATTGTCACACCATCAGCAGCAGCAGCATCGTCGTCATTGTCTTCAACATCATCATCATAATCATCATCATCGCCGTCATCATGATTGTCACCATCATGATCATCAGCAGCAGCTGCATCGTCATCATCATCATCATCATCGTCATCGCCGCCATCATGATTGTCACCATCATCATCAGCAGCAGCATCATCGTCGCCATTGTCTTCAACATCATCATCATCATCGTCATCATCGCTGCCATCATGATTGTCACCATCATCACCATCATCACCATCATCACCATCATCGTCGTCATTGTCTTCAATATCATCATCATCGTCATCATCGCCGCCATCATGATTGTCACCATCATGATAATCAGCAGCTGCATCACCATCATCGTCGTCATTGTCTTCAACATCATCATCATCGTCATCATCATCGCCGCCATCGTGATTGTCACCATCATCATCAGCAGCAGCATCATCACCATCATCATCGTCATTGTCTTCAACATCATCATCATCGCCGTCATCATGATTGTCACCATCATCATCATCAGCAGCATCACTATCATCGTCGCCATTGTCTTCAACATCAGCAGCAGCAGCATCACCATCATCGTCGCCATTGTCTTCAACATCATCATCAGCAGCAGCAGCAGCTGCATCATCATCATCGCCGCCATCATGATTGTCACCATCATCATCAGCAACAGCAGCTGCATCGTCATCATCATCATCGTCATCATCGCCGTCTTCATGATTGTCACCATCATCATCAGCAACAGCAGCAGCTGCATCGTCATCATCATCATCATCGTCATCATCGCTGTCATCATGATTGTCACATCATAATCAGCAGCATCATCACTATCATCGTCGTCGTTGTCTTCAACATCATCATCATCGTCATCATCATCGTCATCATCGCCGCCATCATGATTGTCACCATTATCATCATCATCAGCTGCATCGTCATCATCATCATCATCATCATCACCATCGTTATGATGGTCATCATCACCATCGTCATAATCATTATCATCATAGTCATCATCATCACCATCTCTTTCCATCACTCTTTCATACAAACATACATTAACAATCTCTCATATTTCACTCCATATATATATATATACATATATATATATACCACCCCACTAAAAAATATTCAATCTCTATA